TTAAAATTGTTATTTATTACACATTGTTAATATTGGTATGAGGCTATCCTGAGTATCTTCCAGAATTTATATCATTTTTATATATATTTTTTAATTTTTGAACAAGTCGTATTGCAAAAAAGAAATAATAAAAATAAAATACAATAAAATCAAAGTTTAAGAAAGGTCAGAAATCGCTTCCTCACCCCACCCCCCGATCCGCACGTGCTTCCTTTGGCTAAAAACCGTTTTTGAATTCGCATTACATGTCAGCGGCGAAGTTCACACAGAACGTTTCGTCAGAAAAACGCTATCGCCTGAATAATAAACAAACACAGCCCGTTTCCTTCCGCCTGCATTTTGTCCGTCAGTCATGATTTTTACTCTCGGAGAACTTCTACGTATACGTCAACGTACCCTACGTGCACACACGCTCCCGAACATAACCACCGACGTAACATTAACCTCACTTTTAGCGATTATTTCTCTCTTGTATAAACCTGAGCGCCGCCTGAATTTTGTAATTATTTTATTGTTAATAGTCAGTGATGTAAAATGGCCTTTAATTAAATTTCATGTCATATGACCGTCATTTACTAGTATTTTGTCACATATTGGTCATTCATGTCATTTAAGAATATTTCGTCTTAAAATAACATATTTTTTATTCATAACACTTTTTTAGATATGCATTTACGCATATTTTATCTTCATCACCAGAGCAGGTGCGTTTGGTAGTTTGCTTTTAAAACAGTCTTTTATTTCTTTGATTCGATTACGCGTCATTTGATTACAATATAATTATCCACTTTTTTATATGCTTAAAAATAACCAAACATTTATTAATTTTATTCTAAAATATATCATCATCCAATCATATGCTTCATCGGGTATTGCCAAAGTCTGCAGCACACATTTGTTTCAGGGAGTTTCTCTTGCTGAATCTTTTACTATCTACTTAGCAGAGTTTATCATTATTTTACCAGAGTGCAGCCATAATAGGATATCGGGAGCTCTCAATATTTTTACTGCTAGCACTACCACACTTTTGTCATATTTCTGGCATTATCCTTAACGTAAGTAACAATTCTATTAAGACCAATTTCATCAAATACTTCACTCATCATATATTTTCCCGTATATTTGTTTTCCCTAAAATGTTTTATAAAATACAGATATTGATCTAGAGTAAAAAGTTCACCAAATGATAAACTTCATTCAGTAATACAGTATTCGATAAAATGTATTGCGTAGGCAGCTCCAATGGACGCTTTTATTTTCTTTTCTACTGATAGGAGTTCCCGAAGCGTATATGACTTTCGCAATATGTTTCCAAATATCCCCTTGTTCCTGTTTTGAAGAAAAAGCTGAGTTAGAGCAAAATCGAGTGTCACAGCGAGAAGTTGATGGCGTAGCCGTTTTGGTGGTAGGTGGAGAAAAATAACCATCTTCACTGATCGAGGCAGAAGGTAGATTTGGGGTGTCTAATAGCTTTCTCTGTTCGGTGAACCTTTTTGACATTGACTATAGCACCTGAGCTGTTTTGTCATCCTGCTGGCATGAAGTGCATAAACTTTCATGCGAAAGTTGAATTTATGCGTATCTCGCTTCCTTGTGAAATATTTGAAATTAACTCTCTTATTTTTCATAGTGACTATTATTTTTTTATTATTTGTCTTATCTGTTCAAAGAAGAGGGGTTTCTGATTCCTAGTAGCGATTTTTGTGGCAAAAATAAACATAATCAGCGACCTAACCCAACTTTCACACTTTTTTAAATCCCAGCAGTTGCTGATCCAAAAAAAAATACCTTTTATTCTTAGCAAATTTCACTGACTTGTAATTTTGTAGAAGATTTACCGCCTCATATCTTTTATTGCACAGCAGCTCTCAAGTTTCATAAAAAAAAGTTAGGTTATATTTTATAACGTCAGTGATGTTTTGAATGTAAGAAAGGACAAGGGTGGCAAGTGTAGGGTTGTTTTCGGACTCATTCAAAGGTTGTGGTGAACAAAATACAAATTGTGAAAACTAACAGACATGTTATCAGCTCTATGCCCTTTAGGACCATCTGAAATCTAAAATAATCGAGATCTGACACTGCAAAGGTTCGGATGTTTTTAAGTTACGTAGTGCAAAAATCGTTCATCAATAACGTCGATCCGGCTTCTACGAAATTTTCCATCGACCCCCCCCCCCCCCCCCAATGATGTTCGTTTTTCCTCCCCGATTCCTCCCACGCGTCATCGATCCGTTCCTGCGTCCCACTGCATTCGTCCAGGGTCGATGCACCCTAAATGGCAAGGAAACCGTGTCAACGGGTAGCCGGAGAAGGCCGGGGGATGAATTCGATTTTGTCTCTCGAGGCCGTCGACCACATTTCCTTGTTCTCGCGCTCGGAGCGTTACTTGTCCATTTTTTAATAGGATTTCCTTCCCGGGCCCGACCTACTCGAAGTTTAAGTTATCCAAGGACTCCAACAGAATAATCCAGTGTGGTTCGGATATTGAGAAAAGCGAAAAAAGTAAAAAAGGTTTTGTTTTTTTTTTATACCGCCATCTGAAGAAGACGAGGACAGCTTAAAAAAAGAAAAGCACAAAGACATTAATCTAATAACATTTTGCGACGTTTATTTTTGAAAGGATTCCTAATGCGTTCGAAGTCCCTTCTATGGATTCCGCTGCTCTAATGCTCGTTTCACACTGACAATAAATCGCGAAGTAATTGATGAATTTCTTCATGAAGTTGTGAACTAAGCATATTGACTTTACACCGGAAAGGAGCTTCGTTAATTTATTTGACGTCTCGAAATGTCATTTAACAGTTCAGTCAACATATGGTATTTTGAGGTTATGTTTCACTATTTTTGTTTTGAAATTAAAAAAAATGGAAAAAGTAGATAAAAAATAAGGGGACTTAAAATTAGTTAAACAAGAGGATAAAAGGGAAAGCTTCGATAAAATTTTGACATGTGAAAATTCAAAGGGGACACAAATTTCAGGAATGCGATAAGTGCAGAAGATATACTATTTTCCTTACGAAAAGTTTGTTTTAAAGGTGAATTTCTACAAGTAATTACTATATTTATAATAAAAAAATTAACCGTACCAGTCTTTTTCAACGAAATCCAGTTATTGGGTTGTTCGGAAAGTCATTTCGTTTTTTTTGGGGAATATGAAAGACAGTTTTCGTATAATGAATAAATATTTTATTAAATTATATATTGGCCGTTCTGGTCCAACACCTTTTGCCATCTTTCTGGCAGTAACATAATTCCCCTCTCATAAAAGTTTTGGTCCTTGCTGGCAAAAAACTGGTTCAGGTGGTTTTCGACATCTTCATTTGAGGTAAAGGTTTTGCCATCCAAAAAATTTTGCAGGGACCGGAACAAATAGTAGTCGGAAGGCGCCAGATCTGGAGAATATGGTGGATGTTGCAGTACGTCCCATTCAAGCTGTAAAAGTTTTTGGCGAGTAACCAAACTTGTGTGAGGTCTCGCATTATCCTGGTGGAACACTACACCCTTCCTGTTGATTAATTCGGGCCTCTTTTCTTTAAGTGAATCATTCAATTTGTCCAGTTGATGACAATAGACTTCTGAATTAATCGTTGTATTGTCCGGCAAAAGCTCAAAAAAAACGATTCCTTTGGCATCCCACCAAACGGAGAGCATCACCTTTTTTTGGTGAATGTTGGCTTTTGACACGTTTTGAGTCGGTTCATCTTTTCTGCTCCATGACCTCTTGTATTTAACATTGTTGTATACGACCCATTTTTCGTCCCCAGTAATAATCCGCTTCAAAAATGGATCATTTTCTTGACGTTTGAGGAGCGAATCACACACGTCAACGCGACGACACAAATTTCGCTCCGTAAGGACATGGGGCACCCACACATCGAGCTTCGAGGTTAAGCCCATGCCTTTCAAATGGCCATAAACAGTCGAATTCGACAAATTTAATTTCTCACCGATCTCTCGTGTAGTTATTCGCCGATTTGCATCAACTAATGCCTTTATCGCATCTTTGTCAGCTTCGACCGGCCTTCCAGACGGTGGTGCATCTTCGACATCAAAATTGCCGGATCGAAATTTTGCAAACCAGTTCTGGCACTGGCGTACTGTTAACACGCCTTCTCCATACACATCCGTCAATTTTTTTCTCGCTTGGACAGCATTTTTACCTTTACTGAAGTAAAGAAGTAAAATATGACGAAAATGCTGCTTATTGCTCTCCATATTTAAAAGGGCACCAACCAAAAACTACTGCGTAGAATTAATAGAACTTTTTCACACACAAGCCTTGCAATATCAGCTCTCAAGACATATAATGGTTATGCGGCTTAAGTGTGAAGTTGGTTTCGAAAAAACGTAATTAAGTCCTCTGACGGGAATAAACGAAATGACTTTCCGAACAACCTTATATTTTATGCATTGTAAAAACTTAGAAAAAACCTATTTATTATATGTATAATTTTTTTTAAGAAAGGAGAAACCCGAAATGAACTCACCTCTTCCTAGATCTAAGAGGGAGGTAGAAAGACGTCAATGTTTAACAGATTATGTCATATAAATTTTCATTTGTACAATGTTTAAATATTTTAAAAATTTTTATGATAAATATAATGATTCAAACGGTTTGAATCTATCCCCGTTGGCCGATTTTTTTTATATTTCAAAATTTTGCTTTTTTTTTCAATTTTTTCATTCGTCAACGTTACAAAAAGTAAATATACTAATTTACAAAATGAGTTTCAGAGAGTTGTAAGAGAATGGAGGGAAGTGCCGAAGGTGATTTTTATGGTAGTAAATATGCGCATGCGCAGTATTCATTGTGACACTACAACAGTTCAGTGAAAACTTGTCGTTTAATTGTTTACCTTTCATATCAAAGATTTTGGTAAGTTTTGCATAAAGTTCATGTTCTCTACATTGGAATTAAGTATTTGATGTGTAGTTTGAGTGAAAATAGAAGTTTGAAAGTTGTTTTAAAATTAATTTTATGTGATTTTAGGTTACAAAATGCCACGGACTCAATTCAATTCAATTCAATGATGCGTTTCACAGATAGCTGTTGGGCACGACTACCAGGATCATTCGCCCATGCCACGGACTCGTAAAAATTCCTCAGATTGTTTTTGCTACATTTGTGGGGAATACATACTAAAAACACAACGACATTTCATGATCGATCTGGTTAAAACAGCTTATAAGCTATACTTTGGATTTTCCATCGATGAGCGAGATAAAGGTTGGTTGCCAAAAGTATATAGCTGCTCAAGAACGTTGAGAGGTTGGCTTGAAGAAAGTCACAAATCCATGCCGTTTTCAATGCCAATGATTTGGAGTGAGCCTCAAAACCATGAGAATGATTGTTATTTCTGCACGACATCTACACGAGGATTCTCGAAAAAAAATAGAGGTAAGATTGTTTATCCGAACGTCCTATCTGCAAAGAGACCAATTCCTCGTGATAAAGGCACTCCACCTCCAGTTCCACCAGTTAATGAGGAGGCTGAAAATAAAAATATTTCAGGTCTACAATCTCAATCGAGTTTTGTTAATATAATTTAGGATTTTTTACTGTAAAACTCAAGCCGCCACATTTTATTATTTCCTTATAATAATTTATACTTTAATAATATTGTTTTTTGATGAAATAAATATTAAATTAAAAATCTACGTGTGGTACTTATTTGTATATCAGATTCCGTGTTTAGAGCATAAAATAAGATGAATTCATGCATGCAAACAAGAAGGAGAGAAAAAAATTTTGTGTAATTGTCCTGACCCAATAAATATAGAAAATATCTTGTATAGTGCACTGCTCTAAATAATTCTTTACAAAACCAATATTGTGTTTTTTTTTGCGTAAGTTTTATTTCAGAAACGAAAGCTGGTGTTTCTTTTCTACAAAATTATACAGATATTATTATTACATATTAATATTAATTATATTAATTATTAATTAAATAGATATTAATTATTACATTGCATTTGAATGGTCTATATGTATCTCCAATTGTTCTTGGCTTGGTAAATGATATCCAAGATTTGTCTTCTAATTTGTCTTCCAGTTTGCCAGCAGGTTCTTCCGGTTGGCTAACACTTTCAAGATGCCTTTTCTTTAACAGCAATTGCCTTTGAAGTTCGTATTTGATTCTGCTCTTTCCATTTTCGTGCTTGGAACGCAAAGGTGAACTTATTTTCAGAGACCCGTCTCTTATATTGAAACCAGATTCTCCCTCGTTAATCTCCACAACAGCGGCATCAAACATGACGTCGCAGTTTTCAGGTAAACCCGTGCTTTGTAGTAGGTTGACACTTGCTGTCACTGGATTTAGTTTCTCCAGAAACGCAGGATTTTTAAAATTTCATGTTTCTGAAAAGGAGTTCTTAGAGGATTGACTTTTTTTTCTTGTTGTCCTCTTCATCAATATTTGCCATTATTCATTTTACATTTTACAATAATTTCGTCAATTAATTTAATTATCGCAGTACCAACAGTACCCGAAACAACTACCTCGAATCTGTCGATGAATCAGAGGTACAAGAGAATATATTTTTTTTATAAATATTAAAATTTCTTTCACCGTTTGGATCTTCGATTACTTTTTTAACTAATTCAAACTTCTTGGCGCGAAGGTCTTCTTAGAAACAATTTGGATGTTGTACGTCATCAAAAAATTGATAAGTATTGGCAAATATAGCAAACAATGACTTAAAAGGCTATTGCAACTGGTTATTAAATACCGAATTAAAATTAAACGTTGGAAAAACTAAATACATTTTATTTAAATAAAAAAATAAAATAAATAATAACTTTGACATTAAGATAAATAAGATAATAAAAATAAAAATACTTAGGGCTTATGCTTGACGAGCAGCTATTGATTATTTAAATCATTTACCAATGAAAACTCTTCTCTTATACATTTTGCCGCCCTATGGATACCATGAGCCAAACGAGGAACACGAAATAGGTTAGGATAAAATATTTTTAATTTTTGTGCTGTTGCTGACTATATGAATTTTTCTATCGGAACACTGTGGCAAACAAAAATTGGTCACTTAAATTGTTGGTTGGAAGCAGTTAAATAGGATCTACGAGAACGCTTCAAGTAGACGATATCAATATCAAACTATATATATATATATATATATATATATATATATATATATATATATATATATATATATATATATATATATATATATATATATATATATATATATATAACGGATTTCTACGGTACGTGCCGCCTCTCCGTCCCCAGTTTCCATTTCTTTCTATCCAGACACATGTCTTCCTCTAGCCCTCTGGATGTCATAGCTTCATCTACCTCATTCCTCCAGCTTCTTCGAGGTCTTCCACGTTTTCTTTTCTCTACTGGTACCCACTCGAGTAGGCGTTTGGGCCATCTTGTATCGTCCATTCTTTTCGTATGTCCAAACCATATCAGCTGTTTTTTCTCTATTTGTTCTATTATATTTGTGTTCATGTTCATGCTTTCCCTTATGGTGTCATTTCTTACTCTTTCCATTTTTGATTTTCTGCAGCTACGTCGTAAGAAGTCCATTTCCGTCGTCATCAATTTGTTTCTGTTCTTTTTTGTCATATCCCACGTTTCGGATCCGTATGTGATTATACTCTGGACGATGCTAGTGTATATCCGTTTTTTCGTTTCTTTTGTAATTGTTTTATCCCATAAGATCGAGTTCAACTCTCTTATAACCTTTTTACCTTTATTGGTTCTTTCCTTTATTTCATCGTCACTGCTGCCCTGCTTGTTAAGCGTAACTCCTAGATATTTACAAGTTTTTACACCTTTGAGTTTATGATTTTCTAATATTAGGTCTTCTTGATGTTCGTTCCCTACTATTATATATTCTGATTTTTCCCAATTTATTGTAAGGCCAGCAGCTTGATATTCATCTTTCAGTTTTCGTATCATATAGTTGAGATCGTCCTGGTCCTCTGCTATGACTATCTGATCGTCCGCAAAATATAAACTGTACAATGGGTAGTCTCCCACTCTCAGTCCCATCTCACTAATCTTCCTACTCCATTTCTCTAAAGCGTTATCTAAGTAAATCTTGAAAAGTGTAGGTGAGAGACAACAGCCCTGTCGTAAGCCTTTAGTGGTAAAGAATGCTTCAGTATAGTTTTTTCCATTTCTTACTCTAGTGGAATTATTTTTATATAGGTTTTTTATGGAGCTCCTTAAGTTATAGGGTATCTCTGCTTTTCCTAGGGTCATCCATAATTGCGACAATGGGATGCTATCGTACGCCTTTTCAAGGTCAATTAAGGCTATGTGCAATTCCCTATTTCTTTGTACTCTTTTTTCGCACGCTATTTTAATCGTAAAGATATTGTCCACAGTTGAGCACCCTGTTCTAAAGCCTGCTTGTTCTTCTGGTTGTTTATCTTCTATAGCTTTCTCAACCAGATCTCGTATTATTTTTGAGTATATTCTACCTATTGTACATATCACTGCAATTCCGCGATAATTTTTAGGGTTGCTCTCGTCTCCTTTCTTATGTATAGGCGTTATATAAGAATTTCGCCAATCTGTGGGCAATTCTTCACCATTTATGCATCTCTCAAAAAGTTTAGCCAAGACCTCGAACAGTTCATTAGGGCCATATTTCAGAAATTCTGGGTATATTCCCGCTATGCCCGGTGCTTTTTTATTCTTAAGGTGTTTTGCTATTTTCTTCACATCTAGCTGTGTTCTCATTTTCTCGTTCGATGACTTCCACCATATCGTTTGCAAATTCCGGCCTTTTTTCCTCTAATAGATCTTTAAAGTGTGTTGTCCATTGTTGATTAGATATGTTATTTGGAAATGCACAATTTTTCGCGTTTTTTCTGATATTCTTAATAGTACGCCATGCCTCAGAACTCCTAGTGCCTCCTATATATTGTTCAATATATTCGCATCTTTTCTCCCAACTATTATTCTTTCTATTTATTACTTGTCGTTTGATCTCCTTATTTAGTGTATAATATTTTTTCTGTAATTCTCTATTATCTCTGTCTTGTAATCGCTATATATAATATCAAACTATATAATTTCAAAAAAGTTGATAAGGGTGGATAATCTTGGCAACATTTAAGCTGTGTTTGTAATAAAAACTACGAAAAAATACTATTAAATAAGTCACGCAATGAATTCAGACAATAATGTGCCAATCTTTTAAAATAAATTTTTCTGAATATACATACCTGAAGCAATTTGTTCCATCGTAATTGCTTGGCACGGCGCGTCATCACAAAAAACCACAATACTTATCGAACAACGGACTGAGAGCGACTGTCGGCGCAACGCAAACTATTGAAAGGCGATACAATATTAAAACTGATTTTCGTGAGGATTCTGTTCAAGGCCAACCTAGTTTTTTGTGTGTTTAGATCTGTTGAGGTCCCATTAAATAGAAAATACAACTTAATTATGTAAATTAGCAGATAAAAAAAATTTGTCCATTTATTTTTCATACAATTGCCGTGTTAAAAAGTAAAATGCAAAAAACAATATGGCAGTTTATTGAAAAAATGCATTCGTATTTAATGTTTACGCTAAATAATTAGTATACTTGCTATTTGATAGGTGAACGTCCATATCCAATCGTTTGTGGTAGATCGACGAAAGGAAATGTCTCAAATATTCACTGCTTGCTGGGCGATCGATCAGGGTTGTCAAACTTTGCTCACAAAACGCGTCAACATCCTGGGACCTCGATGATTGATCGTCCGTTTTCGCCCGCGTTGACTTTTTACTGCTCGAAGACGATTCAGATTGTCGATTCGTGTCGAAATAAGAGCCCGCCTGACCGACGTAAACAGAAGGCAATCACCTCAACTGTTTTCAAGACGTTACAGCAAGGGCTTCCATATATTACCATACATTTAATCGGATGGCGTTCTTATTTTTTGTGTAAGCCCGGATAGATTCGATACAGTCCCTCAGTATTTGACGTTCTGATAGTTAGAATGTATGGTCTGTTCATAGATATGAGAAAGTGGCCAATTGTTTACCCAAGCGTGCAACAAGATTATTACCTAAAGTTTCGGAATTTAAATTCGGGTAAAATTGTAGCCGATAATAGAAAATAAATTTATACCTACCTGTGTTTAATATTCATTGGTTTCGTATACTACTTAGTTTAAGTTTATTAGTAATCATTCTTATTACGTGTGTAATACAGCGTGTGTTGAATCGTGTGCGAATTATGCAAAATATGTGCGAGTCTAGTGTATCTCAGGAGTTGCTCCCGCCCAAATGTAGAAAATACTGTTCTATTGAGACTAAGGAAGTTATAAACAATGTTTATTTGGCTCTCATTAAACGTGGTGCCAGCAAGCAAGCATCTTTAGAAGAAACGGCCACATTCTTGCATGCTGTCTATAAAGATGGTTGGATTCCAAATGGACTTTCTCGGTTTGCGAAAAATATTAAAGATTCTTCTCTGAATTACCATGAAGACACCACCGCTGATTTATTTGAAAGTTGGTTTAAAAACAAGCTAATTCCAAACATTCTTCCTAATAGCGTAATTGTACTGGACAATGCAAGTAATCACAGTATCTTTCCTAACAAAACCCCAAATAATTAAATTCTAAGCATATATATCTATATCTATGAACAGACTTTACCTAGTGTCCCAGTAAGGGCAACGAGGCACGGTATTGGGGAAACGAATATTCTTGAGAGTTTAAAAAAATATGTATTATGTAAATCAACCAACCGGAAATGCTGGATTTTTTTGAGGGTCTGAAATGGCCACCAGAGGGCGTAAATGCCATCTTCAATTTTCATACCCGTTTTCTGCACAATTTTCTTATATTAATGACACGAGAGTGAAATTTTTTTTTAAAGATGTGATAAATTCAAATACTTTTTGTTAGATGCTTTTTACTTTATCTCTAAAGGAAACTAAACAAAAAATTAGGTTTAGTCGCGCATCAATATAGTTAAAGATTAACTAAGTTTATGAATTCCTGACGTTTTAAGTAGTAAGCATCTATATTGACAGAAATTACTCATTCATAATTATCGAGATGGTCTTAATAGTATATTATGCGACAAGTGTGGTAAAACGGTAAAAGTATATCAAACGTTTTACATGCTCCCAAACCCGTACGGTAAAATCCCGGAAATGTCCGAAGTGGCTCGGATCCCTGGGACAAGAAACTCACGTACGCTAGATCGCTGTACAAGGTGTGTTCAAAAAGTAAGCCTTTTAAGTATTTATTTATTTATCAAAATTAATGTTCTCCCCTTTAAAGTAATCCCATCCAGATATAAAACACTTGTGCCGACGTTTTTTCCAATACTCGTAGCGCTTCTGGTAAGCACTTTCTGGTATAGTCTTGAGTTTTTCCAGCGATTTTTGTTTATCTCCTCGCAATTGTTCCTTTCATAGGTTTCTTAAGTTTTAGGAACAAGAAAAGGCGCGCGGTGAATATGGTGCATAAGTTCTGCTTGTGGTTTTGTTTTTGGCCAAAAAGTTAGACACAAGCAATGATGAGATCACAATTTCGGAAGTTTTCTTCGGATTGCTTCTCGCCAACTGCGCACAACTTCAAGGTAATACTCGTTATTAACCGTACGACCTTGTGGTAAAAACTCTTGATGTACTATGCCACGATAATCAAAGATCTGATCGAACTTGACGTCCTTTTTTTTTGGTCCTGATGATTCTAGGTTCTTCCATTGGAACGACCGGGCTTTGGTTTCGACGTCATAACCATATATCCATGATTCGTTACCGGTTACGATCTTCTTGAGCATATTATATTAATATATATTAAAAGCTCTTGAGCGATGCTCCTTTTGGTCAAAATTAAGCAGTTTCGCAACAAATTTTGCTGCTACACGTTTCATTCCCAAAACTTCCCGAGGTCTTCGGCCACTACGGTAGTAGTAGTGATTTGACGATTTTCCATTTGTTTCACTTTTTCAACGCTTTCGTCAGTTATTAACGTGCTGAGGCGTCCAGAGCGAAGGTCGTCTTCGAACGTATGTTAGAGACATGTGTACCAACATAAAGACGTTTTAGAAGAACGGTACTGAATAGACCTTTAAGTAAATGTTTGGGCGTATCCAGTGCCTATAAGAAATCGGCCCATTCGGAAAGAAGGAAACGTCATTAATGTTCTTGCCTGGGTCCATCTAATGACGTAAAAAAATCACATCGTTGCATTTATTGATTGTTTTTAGAAAATTACTTGTTTGCAATTATGTCGGAGAACGCCATCTGGTGGCAGGCTACCCACGTTTGGATAGCCCTTTTTAAGGATATCAATTTGAATTTTTTTTTTAATTTCAAGGTGGCAATTACGCCCTGTGGTAACGATTCCAGAACCTAAATAGTAAAGTCCAGCATTTGCTCCTGGTCGATTTATTTAATTTTTTTTTTCGTATTTTTAAGAACATCCTGCCTGATACCATAACACCCGGTATGCATGTTTGGAAATATTTCAACGATCTTTTGTTTACAGAGGGGTTTAGACTAGTTTGATTTATTTGTAAAATATTACACTCAGCAAGTGAATAAACGGTGAAACAATAATAAAAATATAAAACATCAGAATACTCATTTTAAATTTATTTTTTATGCCACTAAATAATATACCAAAGAACTGTACTCATATTTTTTTTACATTCTACTAATACACGGTCCAGTGAGTGGAACACATTTCCAAGTAGCTCTTCTCATCTTCAATTAAACTCTCCCGTCCAGATTCTTCATTACTGAACGAAGAATATTCGAAGAACCAAATTATTCCTATTTCTGGTTACACGGGAATATTATACAATTTGAAAGAAAGTTAACAGTTTTCGTGTAATGAATAACTCCCTACATACAGCAATCTCTGTGTTTTTAAACCTTCAATAACTTTAATTTGTTACCAAAAAATTGTTTCTCTGCTCTTTATATTGAAATATCGAATTATGCACGCAAACTCTTGGTTCTTTCTGATGGTAAAAAAAGAAATTTTCATTGCCTTTGTTTATTGGCAGGAACCAGTGAGATTAATTCAGTATTTTGTGCTATATGTTTGGGGAACGGCGTTGAAGAACTGTTGACGATAGACGAATTGACAGCCAATCTAGTTTAGAATTAGTATAAAAGTTAATTTTTCAGGCTACTGTGGAAGTTGAGTCGACCTTGCTGACGTTTCGCCAATCATCCCATCATCCCGTTATCTTCTTCAGAGCTTGGAACTGGCTCGTATTTTACTCTGTACCTGCTGCTTGAGGGGGGCGCAGCTAAATGAGGGGCTGATGACTGATTCTCATGTTGTGACAAGTAAAGACCTGAGTCGCGGTTGAGATTGTTAGGTTCTTTATAGATTTCTAGACTCTCGGATTTTTCGTAGGTAGAAAAATTGAAGAATTTTAGTTTTCTCGAAAAGTCTTAAGGCTCTTTCATGTTCTTTGAGCCTAGTTGATATTTTTCGTCCGGTCTCTCCAACGTATTCTTTGCCGCATATGCTGTCAACTCCTGGAAACTCAAATGGAATTTTGTCTTTGACGGATCCAAGATAATGAGAGATTTTTGGACAAGTGGTAAATCTGGTTTTGACGTTATATTTTTTTAGAATTTTTGAATGTAAGGAAGGACCCTAGTGGCAAGTGTAGTGAAGTGTATCTTGTTTTAATTCTGGGTTCAGTGACTGGGACTGAGATAGTTTTACGACTCTGTAAAGTGATTTTTGGGCAGTATGGTGATGTGACCATGCATTAAGGTATCGGTCTGTGTGCGTAGGTTTTCTGTAAACACCCCAACGTTAGGTCTGATTTTCTATTGATAAGAATGTCTAAGAATGGGAGGTTATTATTAGTTTCCAACTCAATCGTAAACCTTATGTTAGGGTGTATAGATGAAAGGTGTCTCAAAGGCTTCCATAAATATATTCGCGACGACTGGTGATAGTGGAGAACCCATAGCTGCTCCTGACGTTTGTTATAAGAAAATTGTGTTCCAGACAAGCATTTTTCAACTGAGGTGAGATGGTTCGGGTCCAGATTCTCGGATTTTAATATATCTGAAGTGATGTTGAGAGGTTCAGAAATAGGAACTTTGGTAAAGAGGAATTCTACATCGAAACTAACTAGAATATCTTGTGTATCTGGTATAATGCTTTTTAATTGTTTAATGAAGTGAAAATAAAGAGTACGAAACTATAGACGAGGAATATTAGAGTCATGAGGGGTGACAGATTTTTTCACGAAGTCGGATAGAGAAGAAGCCTCGATAACATATCTAAGTTTGGATTCCATAGATGATGAAAAAAATTTTTATTCGATATTCGAAAAATCCGTTTATGTCTCCCATTTAGCTCCGCCCCCCTCGAACAGCATATAAGCAGGTACAGAATAAAATGCGAGCCAGTTTCAGTCAAGCTCTGAAGAAGCCAGCAGGATGATTGGCGAAACGTCAGCAAGTTCGACCCAGCAAAAACCGACGCGGGAGGAATCCAGAAGTTTTGCGAGTGTTATTTTTGGACTTTTTCGAAACAATTTTTGACGCTGAATGGCGTCTCCGTGATCGGTTTGAATAATTTACACGCCTTTTGTTTTTGTATTCGCGGTTTACTACTCGAATCATTTTTATGTAAAGCTTCGCCCGAAATGTTTAATTTTTTTGAACGATAACGGATCTAAATCGAACTCGCGTCTCGGCACCGTCGAATACGTAAGCGTTATTTCGACTACTAACGTGCGTCGAATGCTTAATCTCGGGATCCGGATATACGATTTCGGTAAAACGTTCTTCGTTTTACACATCGTAGAGTAACGGACTGTTCATTCACTGCGGCGCGTAACCTTGGGGGCTTTTTTTTCCCAACTATTAGTGGAGCGCCGTAAGGCATAAAAATGGTAAAATCTCGGAACCCGGGGCCAGTCAATAAATCTCTGTATAACAA